GGTTTCTAGCCACTTTGACCCAATTAGTGAGGCTAATTAAGGGGGTCTGTGGGTCAGAGCTCAAACTCACCGACAGACCTCTGACACCACTTTATGGTCAAAACATACGACGTACCGATACTCGAGGAGACAGCAATCCTTTAACGGGCGAGGGTCCACAAAGCATATTTCACCGGCAGAAAAGAAGGGCGCTGGGGAGGCTCTATTGAAAGGCATTGTCTTTTTCTATGGCAATATCTCAACATCACTATTATATATAGCTATGTTTCTACCCAAAAGGCGGGAATGAGTCCTAAAATCCGTACAAACAAATCATTAAGTGGTTTTAATATGCGGAGATTATCCTGCGGAACATAACGTGAAAGTATCATAAACGTTTATCTTATTTTCTGCCAACACCACAAGGAGAAGTCCCATTGGACCAGGGAGATGCTGCCTTCAGGGTCCGCCTACAGTACGTATTTCCTGCACCTCTCTATAGGGTTAGGGATCTCTCTTGACATATTAACAGCTTTTAGAATGGCTCAAACATAACAGAGGTCTTACGGCCCGTCCACACTACAGCTTAAAAAAAAAGCTTGCCGGCGGGCGTGTCTGAAGCTCGACCAACAACCAATCACATGAATCTCCCGCCCCTGACACACAAGCAGCGGTTTGATTGGCTAGAGCTTGTACTGGCATATGATTTGATTGGCTGACGCTTCCACCGAAAGCTTCCGAAGCTTCAAAAGTTGAACATTGCTCAACTTTTGCAGCCTGACACGCCAGGAAAGCTCCGCTCTGCTACCCACAATTCAGTTCGGCGGAAAGGCGAGGCAACGTGACGTCACCCCATTCAAAGTGAATGGGCAGACGCGCTGGAAACCGTTTTTGAAGCTGTCGAAGCTGTAGTGTGGACGGGCCGTTGTGAGCGCTCCCTGCCAGTGCTTCTCAATGTTTCCACGTTGACACTTTCATGTGAATTGCATGTACCCCAACTTAAGTTAGACCCTACTTTCTGCAGTTGAAATGCCAAAAGGTCCCTATTCCTACAGTCGAACCAGGGCTATTGTGTATTTAACATGAGCACAAATGGTAGAATGGCACTAGCGACTTTCTGAAAAGGTCAGAAACGTTATAAAAAGGACACGTCGTGATGAGCTTTTTATCCAAGCGGCCAGATACGCTCACTTATCTTGGGAATCATTTATAGAATATGTTGTCACGGTCTGTCTGTGTTGTGTTTTGTCTGTCTCTGGTTTCCTGTTCGATTTTGAAAAGTGTTCACCCCCTGTCTTGTCTGTTGATTCCTGTCTCTGTGTTTGCCCTCCTGTGTCTGATTTCCCGATTGTGTTCACCTGGTGCCCCTGTGTTTCCTCCTCCCTCCTCACCTGTGTCTTGTTTGTGTGATTAGTCTTTGTGTGTATTTAAGTTCTGGTTTTTCTGTCTGTCATTGTTGGATCCTTGTTTGTCTTGACTGTGTTCACGGGAAGAGTTCTGTTTTTTTAGTTAACCTTGAAATAAAGGTATTTTCTGTTTAAATCTGCATTTGGGTCCTGCCTGCTTCACTCAACCCTGACGTGTGTTGTCGCTTGGCGTTACTCAATGATTGATAGCAGAGATAAACATCCGACTGTCTCTTTACTGCCTTGGCGTTCAAACTGAAATCCGTCACAGCTACAGTAACTGAACTGCAGCATGTTAACATCGGTTTGGCCACATTTGCATGCAGATGTCCTTGTACCGAGTGTTTCTGTGAATGCACTGTGCAGCGAGTCTGTCCTGATCCAGATGTTGGAAGCAGCTCTGATGAGATCCTTCCAAAAAAAAAAAAGGGCCTTTTAAAAAATGTTGAAGGACGCTCTCCCCTCACTGCGAGGCCTTGCACATGACATCATTCTGCGTGGCATCGAGCCAGTTCATGTTGCAAAGAAAAACAGTGGAGCAAAAGGTACCGGAGCAGCGGGGTCCAATAAAGAGAGCGTTGTTAAAGCAGGCTTATGGAACATTTCTCCTTATCGTGCATTTCAGGACAAAGCATCAGCTTTGATTTCTCAGGAAAGAAGCCAAAAGCACCGCGTTAACTCTCCCTCTGTACGTGTGATTCATGCGGTTAAAACCTGAAAGCTTGCAGTCCTTTTTTTACCTTAAATGCTCCTTTCTTCTCGTGCATTGTGCCAAACAGGCTCTGACAGCACACTGACACTTGAATCTATTCATTACACATCCTCCTCGTGTTCTCCCAAACCACTTCACTTAATTTTGACTCAACTGAAGTCTTTTGTCGGGGCCGGCGGTGTCTGCTTCACCTTTAAATACAAACAGGACCTTTCTTTGTGTGACCTATTTGTTTATTGCTGGTTTATTATCTGTCCACAGCTCCTGAGGGCAAAGCAGCACAAACACAAGGCCTGCAGGAAGGAAAGGGATCCTTCTAGGAACCTCTTCAATGCCACCTTATCCTTTTCATTCCCAAACACAAGGACACAAACAGGAACATGGATGCCCTACAGGTCAGTGGATGATGGGGGGGGCGCTGACGCCTGATCCTGACCTGTTTCTGACTGCATGAGTGGAGAGGAAATGCTCTGATGGCTCCATAAGTGTACAGAAGAGCAGCAAACCTCAGCTATTTTAGGAGGGTTCAAAACACTGGCTCCAGTTTCTCAATCTCTACACAAACCAGGATGTCACATGCAATCCTTGCACAATTAAAATGATGGCACAGCATTCATCTTCCAAACTACGGAGTGGGCACTTTTATTTCCGCGTTTCGTTATGTAGATTGTTTAGTAAACATGTGTTCCCTTCAAGTTGGTGAAGATGTCTCGTGTGTTCTGGAACATTTGTGTTTTTATATTTCAAAGACTGGAAGTAGCGTTGAGGCGCATTTGCACCTTTTGGCCACCGTAAAAATCCAATAGAAAGTTCCTATTGAACCAGGCAGATGCTAACTTCCATGTGTTCAATGTGTAACTTATAAAATCGTGACACATTATAACAGCTTTTAGTATGGCTCAAAATCTCATAACAGAAGTCTTAGGGCTCCCTGCAAGTGCTTCTCAATGTTTTCTAAATGGCAACTTAAGTTCGAACCTACTTTCTGCAGTTGAACCAGGGCTATTGTGTATTTAAAATGAGCTTACCTTTACTATCAAAGTCGATGGTGTGGCAGTCTGATTGGCCGATGCTCCAGGGACAGTAGAAGACGGACCCTCCCTCGGTGACGTTGAACTGCGTCGTGTTGGCCTTCGGAGCTCCGATCACCACGCTTACACTGAAACAGAGACGAGTTTAAATTATGCAAAATCCACTATTTCATGTCTCTTCTACATCAACATGTGTCCCCTCTTCTTCATGTCTCTTCTACATCAACATGTGTCCCCTCTTCTTCATGTCTCTTCTACATCAACATGTGTCCCCTCTT